ATTCGACCACGCTGTTCCTGCCACACTAGCTTCTGCAGCTCCTCAGTTATACCAAGGAACACTCTTTCCCCAGACACTCATGGAAGATATTCAGCCAATAAACACCAGCACGGCTCTAGCGGTTTGGAGTTGGCATCTGTTCTCATAGGGCCAGTAATCATGCTGTGCTCTTAAAGGCTTTTACTATTACTCCTGCATATAACCATACAGAGAAGTCCTTGGTTTGGTTCACGTTTCTCTTCAAAATTCATTAGGAGGCCTTCTTGGATCACAATGTTTTTTAAAAAAGCAGCTGCCCCTACACACACACGCACACACACACGCACACATGCACACACACATGCACACATACACACCACTCAACCCCTGACCTCATCATCACACTCAGGTCATTATCTTCTTGACAGGCTTCATTTTCGTAGCATTTATTGCACTCTGACATAATATAGATCGCTGCCCAGCAGAGAGTGTGTGTTAAGTAAATATTTCCTGAGTGAATAAATAGTGAATCACATATATTTTCCAGTCTTCTTTTTATTAAAATTTTAAATTATTTTAATAATTTAATTACATAATTAAGGAACATGGGTATAGATTTAAGGAAAAAGAAGTCTCTTTAATTCCATAAAACGTTAAATTGAAAAAGACTTCAACATGTCAAAAACTGTATCACAAGCCTCTATAAAAGGAAAATCATTAAACAGTAATACTGGACAAAGCAAGCTATGTTACTTAACAAGCTATGTGAAATAAACAGTCTTTAAGTGATCTGAAACTAACAGCATGAAGAGAAGACCTAGTTAAGAGTGCAACTTTCTCTTGTATGAAGTGTTCTTTGTTTGCATGTGTCCAACATGAAAGCAATTGCCTCAGACCTGTCTGTCACAGAGAGCCTTCCTCTCTGCAAAAATCTGCCTCTACTGTTCTGGCATCCTGCACCAAATTCTGATGAAAAGCCACAAGTACTTGATTTAAGTTGGCAGGCAAGTCATTTGTCTAAAGTTCAACTTAATGGCTCATTGCCTAACTCACCTGATTTATTCATGAACTTTAATTTCCATTCTGAAAGATATTTCTTTTTAAAAAACAGCTAAGTCTGAAACAGTATCAAACTTAACAAGGCAAATAAACTTTCAAGTTACCATTTAAATGTTAAAGTTGAACTAGGTGTCTTTCTTAACTAAATTTCATCAAGCCCTATATTTAACCTCAAATCCTAGGTTGGGCACCCAGTATTACTGTTCATTGATTTTTCCTTCATAAAGACTTGTGGTACAGTTTTTGATATGTTACAGTCTTTTTCAATTTAACATTTTATGGAATCAAAGATACTTCCTTTTCCTTAAACCCACACCCTTGTTCCTTAAAATTAGCGTTTATTCTAGTCTCTGAAGTCTAGTCTCTACAGTCCAGACACATAGGAGGTAAGAACACAGGCTCCCATCTCAGCTCTGTGTCTTATCTGTTGTGTCATCTTGTGCAAATTATTTATGATTTTAAGCTTCAGCTCCTCATTCATCACACTGTATGAGGTTAAAAACAACACTAATCTTGTATGGGGTAATTATAATACTTCATAAGAATATGTAAGGGTTAAATGAGATAGTGCATATCAAACGCTCAGCAGGGAGCTGGTTTCTAGCAATTCAGTGCTTCAACAAACGTTTACTGAACGCCTACTGTGGGCGAGCCCAGGTCTAGGCACTGGCACTAGAGCTGCTCCAACTGTTAAATGTAATTCTGGCCCTTACGGAATTTACATTCCACTTGAGGAAGACAGACAAGTACAAATACATCATGTGAAGTAATTTCAAGTAAACACAACTGCAGCAAAAAGATACTAAGAGGGGAAGAGGGGAACATAAGGGCGTGAGGGGTTATTTCACGCAAGGTAGTCAGAAAAGGCCTCTGTGATGAAGTGGGAACAGAAACTGACTCAGTAAAGAACAGGCTCTGTGCGTCTCCAATGTGCTTCCTAACATAAGAACGATGGTGCTGGGTGATCAACAACCCTTGTTTAAAACAACGGCTTGCATCTTCCATACCTTTTCACAGGCTTTGGGAAGCAATGCAGGAGAAATGAGCCTGTGGAGGGTGAGGGAGGGATGGCTTGGGCACCCACTAGCTTTATTATCATGAGAAAGTTAAATAAACCCTAATCCTAGATTGTCTAGTTTTCTGTACTTGTGGAGATAGGAAAGAGAATCCTTTGGCCACTGTGTCCTCTAGTTAGGCATTATGATGATATACTTGTATTTTCATGGGTAAGAAAGAAATAAATAGGGAGTGAGCAGTAAATTGCTATAAGCAGAAATTATATTGAGACCAAAATAGCATTCTTTATGTAGGCTAAAAGTGAAGTCTGGCAAGATGGAAATGAGATGTTTTACAGCATAGTATATGGTCAAAGACATTAACTTCTTACACAAATTAAATCAAGAAATAGATTCCTGTTATAAGAGTATAAATAATTTCTCAAAGGAAGATATATAACAGATAATACCACCATAATAAAATCTGTATCAATTTGTTCTTCACTCATAATTGAAAATTGTCTAACTTTTACAACCTCTGCTTTGTGATTTTCTTTTAAAAGCATAATATGATTCATTAAATAACATGCATAACAATATTTACAACAAACAGATAATGATCTGCATATTTCAAATACCAGTACTTTAGATCAGGTTAATAGTCAGCTAGATAAACTTCAAATTTCTACCTCATAAAACAATCATACATAGCTCCTTAATCTTCTATAGCTTTCAGTCTACAATTATTTTCATAGCTATTGCTATATAAAATGATGAGATAATCAGCTCCACAGCCAGTGTTAGGGGCTTGGGAGAAAGAGAATAATTGACCATGTAACAGTCCACAGAATCTTTTCCATTTATCTAGACTCATTTCACGGAAAACTTTATATAGAGAAGGATATAGCTTTATTTGAAATTATATATTCTTATTCAAGCCCAGATCTGCATTTTTATGTGCCTCTTCTATGGCTTTGGTCTCTCAATTTAGACCTGGCTCAGCAAGTAGAAAATGCAAATATTTGGTTGGCTGTAAAATGGGATATCAATATCTCTGAAAATCCAGTTGCATATCTTGTTGACCTAACATGGGTAAAAAGCATCTTCACTGCACTGAATTTTATTTTATGCTGCAATTATACTTTAATTCATACTTTTACATTACAGGTAAGGATACAAAACTCCTGTCACTTATAGTGATAGAGGGAGGGTAGTGGTAGAGGAGAGGTTGAAGACAGCCCCTAACTGATGGTTTGAGCAGCTAAGTATTTGGTGTTATAGGTTTCCCCCATTATCTAAAAGTTTGCTTTATGCCACTCTGCTCTTACCAAAGGCTTACATTAGTACCTGTTTTTGCTAACCAAAAGAAATTCAAAGAGTACTTTCACTTTTGTGACATGGTAATTTCTTCTTTGCTTTATGTCATTTTGGCTTATAAAAGGTTTCATAGGAACACTCTACTTTTGAGTAGTGGGGAAAACTTGTGCCATATACTAAAAAAGGAAGGATAAATTTTGGAGTTAAAGGTGATAAACTCAGTTTTAGGTAAAGAGTAGAAAAATCTCTTTTGTCTTTTGGGAAAGACATAAATGTAAGTTAGGAATATAAATTTGTAAGCCTCTGCTATACAAATAAGTAAATGAAGCCACAGGAATAGATCACCTTAATCAAAGGAGAGAACTAGAATTCTGCAGAACAACAGCAGTTCTTCATTTATGGAAGAGGAAACATTGACAGACTTCTCTGTTTTACTAGAGCAAAATGTGACAACCTATTTCAAACCAACAGAGAATTTTTATATGGTTTTCTGAAGTTAAAATGGGGGAAATAGCAAATGGAAAAATATAAATGAAGAAATGAGCCAATCTTATAATTCTAGAAAATTGTGAAAGAAGGCCAATTTCTTAGCCACAGAATTAGTGTTTAGCAACTGACAGTCAAAATCTTCTGTGAAAGCAACGTTAAGGCTCAGCCCCTCAGTAATGACTGAGTAATACAATGTGAATACAAATATAGACATTATGTTCTAGACTAACAAAGGATAGTATAACAGCTGTTTTGATTTTTTTTTTTAATTTCTTTAGCAGAATCTGGATTACACAGCATTCTTGGGAATAGCACTTGCTTCATATTAAAAGTCATCCCTAGGTATATAAAAATTGAATTAGCAGACATTAACCTACCAGGTTTTCTGGCTGTTTATGGCTACGCTGTTCTTCAGAGTAGATGGCCTCAAAGAAAAGGACTCTTGACTATCCCAATTCAAGTTCTGAGAGAACTTGAATAACGTGAAGTTCTGAAACATCAAAAGTACTCAGAAACCAAGGCAGCTCCATTGCTCCACTTTGGGCCAGGCCCCACAGCATTTACCTTAAAACACAAGCCATCTTCATACCCATTCCTTACCTCACAAATCTCCTAAAGCACATGAAACTAATGTGTTCTGTGCTAGATCTCAGAGGTAAAAATTACCTAGAACAATCTCTTACCCAGCTAGTTACCTGCTGGCTCCACATAAGAAACTTATGATTTACTATATTTGAGAAAAATAGTGTAGCTTTTAAAACTTCTAATGTCTTATAATATATTGTAAACTTAACATCCAAAATTAAAATTCCAATTCACTTGTAATTGCTGGAGATATTCTTTGACTTCTACATCTTAAAATCTTGTATAAACTCAACTCAAAGTCTGAACCTTATAAAGTAAAAAAAAGTGTTAAGTCTTTTAAGGAAAACTGGGAAGGAAAAAAAAAAAAAAGAAAAGGCCATTTGTAACCCAGCAAACACTGAATAAAAAGGCAACCCATCTTAATAAAACCAAGGAAATGCTATGCTTCAACATTAGTACAATTGGTAATCACAAAGCCCTTTTGTTTCCAAACTTTTATAAATAATGTAAGAACTTTATTTGTTGTGGTAAATGTTAACTCACATTTAAAATATACACACACATAAATGCACTTACCTTAGGAATAGGATTCAGCAGAACTACACCTGATTTCTTAGTGATGACCTGTTTTGTTGTATAGTGATGATCTATGAGTTGAGGAATGTTTGAAAAACCAGTGCCTTCAAATCGATATAGATTCTGGAGAAAGAACAATAAAGTAGAATAAATATGAAGACACTGCTTCAGCAAGACCACATTCAGCAATAAATTAAGTTGCACTAAGAAAAACTATTCTATGAATGTACATAATACTACTGAATGGTTAAGATGGTGAGAGTAAAAATAAATAAATAAAACTCCAACATGCTGAAAAATTTTAACTTTCCATCAAGAAATTAATTTTTATAATGACTAAACATACTTCAAACCATTAAAAAAGAGAAAGAAATGAAGGAAGAAAATGAAATACTAACAAAGACCTGGAATGCATTTTGCTAAATGATAACCAAAGGAAATAAAGCATGAGATACATTTGACTTAATAAACAAGCAATGCATTTACATAATATTTACATATATGCCCCATCTGATAAAACTTCCAAGATCAAAAATAACGTCAAAGCTTGAAGATATTATATTATAGCCAATATAATGATATATATTTGAAGAACACCTCAGATGATCACTATTTCCTACTTACCAATATAGTAGTAATTGGTATTTCTCTTATGGGGTTATTCATGTATTATTCTTTCACCAAAAGCACCTAGTCATTTACACACCATTGACAAAGAAATAAAATGCACAGTGACAAAACTGCAAATATCAGCATGCTCAAATCTTGCACTTTGTGGTTTTATAACATTAGATAAGTAACATTTTCTCAAACTCCGCCACAACCTCTTTTCAGTGTCTTCATATTTCAAATAGGCATGCAGGTCAGTTATCAAATGAATAAATTGATAGCAGTAAATTTAGCAAATAAAAAATATCTTATTGGCCATACTTTTCAATGCAGGAAGCACTGGAATGCATTGTAATGTATTAAAAACTTCTATCGGACTGTTCACAAAGTGCTCGCCCATACATATACATACAGGTGATACGTACAGATACCAATATGAATATGCTCTAAGAAAACTCTCTGTTAAGAAATAAGAACATTTAAAATTACCTAAATTTGGATATTATTTATATTACTGGAAGATTATTTCATAGTTAAAAGATTTAAAAAATTAAAGCTCCTTTTCCATAGTATAAGATTCAATTTACCAGAATTCAACTTATAGACCACCTTTAAATGGATATTTGTTTTATCAAGTGAGGGTCAAACAGGAGTTAGCTGACTATAAAACTAACCACAGAATATAATTTAACTCAAGGTAGTTTGCGTTAGAGTCAATTCAGGGCAAATTGTTAATAAACTGCCTAAAGAATTTTTGTATATAGCAGCCAGACCTACTATGATATATTAACAACGACATTAAGAATATTTCTTACTGAAGACGCTAATCTATTATTAGGCATGCAATGTGCTGAGCAAGTTCTCTCAGTGTCTCAGTTAATTCATTGGTGAAACAAATAATATTTGGATCTTCTCAAAGAGTAAATATGAGGCTTGACCAAGTATCAACATGCAAACCCCTGTGCCCGGCATATGGCACACAGTACACACTCAAATATTAAATCACCAAAGCAATAATAATCCTTGGGTTACAAAAATAATTCCAAACCCAGATATAGGAAAAGAAACATTTTCAAAGAATACCTTAAAGTGTAAATCACATTTTCTTAAGGAATAATCATTATCTGTAAATAATCAGATATCCTGGAAGGCATTCTTATATTAAATTGATTAAGAAATAAAGAAATGTAAAAGGTTATAGAAATGTAACATGTAATAACAATAGTAACAATGGTAATATTTCAACCAAATATACAGTATTATATCCTTGAACATTGCTGAGAGTAAATCTTAAGCATTCTCACCATGCACACAAGAAAGTATTTAACTTTCTTAACTGTGAGGTGTTAAATATCTTAATCCTGGTAATCATTTTACAATGTATATCAAACCATCATGTTGTACACTTTAAATATATATAATTCTGTTAGTTAATATTTACTGACAATGCATTCCTCCATAAAGTTAGAAATTTATATACTGTTACTCCCTTTGTCTGATTCCTTCAGTCTACTCTTAACATAGCATCAGGAGATCCTGTTACAGTAGATCATTCCATTACTTTGCTATATTCTTATCTCCCTCAGAATAAAAGCCAAAGTCTCTACCATGGTCTATAAGACTCTACATAATCTATCCTCTAGCATCTCTCTTACCACTACCCCCACCCCCACTTCCCTCCAGCCACACTCCTTTCCTTCTTGTTGTAAAACACACTATATATACTCCTTAGTCAAGGAGTTTACATTTGCTGCTTGAATAGTTCCTCAGATGGCCATATGGATAATGGCTCCCTTACTTTTTCCAGTCTTTCAGCATAAATCACCTTTTCAGTGAGGTCTTCTCTGACCACCCTATATAATATTCAATTCCCCATTTTCTCACCCCAGCTAAATTTCTTATCTCTTTTTCCATATTAAATTTTTCTCCTCAGAACTTAACACCATCTAATATCATACATATTTTATTTTTCTTGTTTATTGACTATCTTTTCTAGGATGTAAGCTCATGAGGTGATAAATTTTTACATTTTTTTTCTTAGAAAAAATGTCTATTTTTATTTTATAAAAGAGGCAAGTATTCCAAATTCACTGATGATGACAAGTGGTTCCAGTGATGTGACAATTAACTGGCTTTTTTTCCCCCCAAAAGAATAAAAACATTCCTTTTATCTCTTTAAATACAGATTTTTTTGTTTTTTTGGTCCCTCAACTTTATTGTCATTTTTTAACTTAATTTTATTATGTTATGTTAATCACCATACATTACATCATTAGTTTTTGATGTACTGTTCCATGATTCACTGTCTGCATAGAACACCCAGTGCTCCATTAGTATGTGCCCTCTTTAATACCCATCACCAGGCTAACCCATCCCCCCACCCCCCTCCCCTCTAGAACCCTCAGTTTGTTTCTCAGAGTCCATAGTCTCTCATGGTTCGTCTCCCCCTCCGATTTCCCCCCCCTTCATTTTTCCCTTCCTACTATCTTTTTTTACTTTTTTTAAACATATAATGTATTATTTGTTTCAGAGGTACAGGTCTGTGATTCATCAGTCTTACACAATTTGCAGCGCTCACCATAGCACATACCCTCCCCAGTGTCTGTCACCCAGCCACCCCATCCTTCCCACCCCCCACCACTCCAGCAACATTCAGTTTGTTTCCTGAGATTAAGAATTCCTATCAGTGAGATCATATGATACATGTCTTTCCCTGATTGACTTATTTCGCTTAGCATTATACCCTCTAGTTCCACCCACATCATTGCAAATGGCAAGATTTTGGGTTTTTTGACGGCTGCATAATATTCCATTGTATATATATACCACATCTTCTTTATCTATTCATCTGTCGATGGACATCTTGGCTCTTTCCACAGTTTGGCTATTGTGGACATTGCTGCTATAAACACTGGGGTACATGTACCCCTTCGGATCACTACTTTTGTATCTTTGGGGTAAACATCCAGTAGTGCAATTGCTGGGTTGTAGGGCAGCTCTATTTTCAACTTTTTGAGAAACCTCCATACTGTTTTCCAGAGTGGCTGCACCAGCTTGCATTCCCACCAACAGGGTAGGGGGGTTCCCCTTTCTCTGCATCCCCGCCAACATCTGTCGTTTCCTGACTTGTTAATTTTAGCCATTCTGACTGGTGTGAGGTGGTATCTCATTGAGGTTTTGATTTGGATTTCCCTGATACTGAGCAATGTTGAGCACTTTTTCATGTGTCTGTTGGCCATGTGGATGTCTTCTTTGGAAAAATGTCTGTTTATGTCTTCTGCCCATTTCTTGATTGTATCATTTGTTCTTTGGGTGTTGAGTATGATAAGTTCTTCATAGATTTTGGATACTAGCCCTTTATCTGATATATCATTTGCAAATATCTTCTCCCATTCTGTCGGTTGTCTTTTGGTTTTGGTGACTGTTTCTTTTGCTGTGCAGAAGCTTTTTATCTTGATGAAGTCCCAATAGTTCATTTTTGCCCTTGCTTCCCTTGCCTTTGGCGATGTTTGTAGGAAGAAGTTGCTGTGGCTGAGGTCGAAGAGGATGCTGCCTGTGTTCTCCTTTAGGATTTTGATGGACTGCTGTCTCACATTTAGGTCTTTCATCCATTTTGAGTTTATTTTTGTCTGTGATGTAAGGAAATGGTCCAGTTTCATTCTTCTGCATGTGCTGTCCAATTTTCCCAACACCATTTGTTGAAAAGACTGTCTTTTTTCCGTTGGACATTCTTTCCTGCTTTGTCGAAGATGAGTTGACCATAGAGTTGAGGGTCCATTTCTGGGCTCTCTATTTTGTTCCATTGATCTATGTGTCTGTTTTTGTGCCACTACCATACTTATTTCGCTTAGCATAATACCCTCTAGTCTTGATGATGACAGCTTTGTAATAGAGCTTGAAGTCCAGAATTGTAATGCCGCCAGCTTTGCTTTTCTTTTTCAACATTCCTCTGGCTATTCGGGGTCTTTTCTGGTTCCATACAAATTTTAGGATTATTTGTTCCATTTTTTTTTTTAAGATTTTATTTATTTATTTGAGACAGAGAGAATGAGAGACAGAGAGCATGAGAGGGAGGAGGGTCAGAGGGAGAAGCAGACTCCCTGCCAAGCAGGGAGCCCGGTGCGGGACTCGATCCCAGGACTCCAGGATCATGACCTGAGCCGAAGGCAGTCGCTTAACCAACTGAGCCACCCAGGCACCCCTATTTGTTCCATTTCATCACAGTATCCCCATGGTCTAGAACAGTGCCTGGCATGTATTGCCTGGATCAATAAACATGCATGAATAAATGAAATATAATGCATATAAAATGAGTGTGAAGCTAAAGAGACAAATCAGATAACTTAACTTGGAAATTAATACTGAAAACACACACTCACGCAAACACCACACTGGAGTACAATGTCTAATAAAAAGTAAGTAACATGATAAAATTTACACAGAATCAAATTTCCGATCAGCGACTAGTATCATAATATAATGTCTTATATAAAATTCTAACACACCTCTGAAAC